ACGGTGACGAAGATGAAGAAGAAGAAGAAGACATTGACGAAGAACAACTTCTCAATGATCTTTCCCCGGATTTCTAGAGCTCTAGCTCTACTTTCTTCTCTTCCTTATTTTATCATCTTTTAATATGCTTTCGTTATGTACTCCGCTATTTCCCTTAATTAATTAATAAAAATCTTTATGATCTTTGTTGTTAACAATCTTTTTGTTAATGTCAAAAGGGGGAAGATAAGGGCTATGCATATATTAAGGGGGAATTTTCTTAAGGGGGAATTTTTTTTCAAAAAGATCAAAACCCTATGCATATCCCCGTCTTGTTTGCCATTATCAAAAAGGGGGAAATTGTTGGAACACACTTTGTACGATAAACTAAAGTCGTGTTCATTTCTGACAGGTTTTGATAATTGCCAAACTGCTGTGGATATAAAGAGTTTCGTTGAATAACTCAAGGCGTGAAGAATGGCTTGGAACAAGACCTAAAAGACTCAAGGACAAAATCAAGAATTGAAGACTTAGTCGAGTCGGTCTTTTGTGATCAAAACCGACAATATATTCAAGTCTCGGTTCTCAAAAAGTCAAAACAATTTTTACAATCACAAAATATTTCTTGTGCATCAAAACAAACATTTTTTTGATGACTCCTTCTATTGTTAAAATCCCTGGTCCTTGCTCAGAACCAAAACCACCTAAGTCAGCGTTCGGCTTTCGACGTTCAGCTTTCGGGGTTCGGTTTTTGGCGCCCGAACCAACTCCGTGGTTTTCATTAAAAACCCTGTTTTTACCTCTGAGCATTTTTAAAATGTTTCCAAATAATTATTTTATAAAAACCACTTTTGTACCTTGGTCAATCGGTCTAATACGTGAAAAACGGTCTAAACCGTACGTACGTATTATACGACCTTGGAGACTTGGTTTTTACCAAACAAGTCTTGTTTTCACTATTTAATACCATATACAGTATTTTCCAAACCCGGTTTTTACTTTTGGAAACACTTCATTTTTGGACCTCGGTTTTTCAAAACAGGTTTCAGCTGGCTAGACTTTAGCTGGGTGATAATCAATTATCACCTTAGTGACAATTGACTATCAGCCCCTACAGCTTTGAACTTCCAAAGTTCTGAAGCACGTAATAATCGATTATCAGCTTTGCAATAATCGATTACCAGTCTTTGCAGCCAAAACCCAGAATCTTCTGAGAGGACCAATAATCGATTATCACTTGTTGACAATCGATTATCTGGGTTACCATTGTCCTCCAACGGATAGAATTTTAAATTTTTGGATAGGGAATCTTTGGATAATCGATTATCATGGTTTGACAATCGACTATCAGCCTGTGTCCCTGAAAAATTTGTCATCCTGTTGGAAATTCTAGCAACGGGTTTATCCCATTTTGGGCTATAAAATGGCACCCAAATCCTCTCATTTGAAACACAATTCTTCAACATTTCAATACTCTTTCATTGCATAAGCATTCCTATTTTTTCTTAGCTATTTGAGAGCCAATTCTTGAAGAAATTGTCGTGTTCTTGAGCGTTTACTAGTTCACTCATATCTACTCTTTGTGAGAGTTTTATTCCTGAGTGTTTAAGTGTTTTCATACACTTTAAGGGAGGTTGTTCCCTTGTTGTAAACTCGAAGGAAGTTCCTTGTTCCTTCNGAATATGTTGCCGCCGGTAGTTGTTGTGCTCAAACCCTTTGGATGAAGCAACAACTTGTGGATTATGGCCTTAGTATCGATCACGTCCCTCTTCGATGTGATAATACTAGTGCTATAAGCTTGACGAAGAATCCGGTTCTTCACTCAAGGACGAAACATATTGACATTAGGCATCATTTCATTAGAGATCATGTTCTCAAAGGTGATGTCGAAATTGAGTTCGTTGAAACCCACAACCAATTAGCCGACATTTTCACAAAACCTTTAGAGAAAGAGTCGTTCTTCCGCATTCGTAGTAAACTCGGAATCCTTGACTCCACGATGATCTAAATTGTGAATTAATTATTATTTTTGGTCCCTACTAACTTGAACGTCGGAGACGATTTTAATTCTTTTTTGCAGGGCTCTTTTTTTATTTTCAGATGTCAAAGTCAGGGGGAACAAAAGAAATCGATTTCTAGTTCCCAGGACTGAGTGTAAATCGATTTCCAGACTTGTGATAATCGACTATCACAACCCACAGGAGTTGGAGCAAAGAAACTGAAGGAGCCAACAATCGATTATCAATATTGAGATAATCGATTATCTGAGCCTGCAGGAGTTTGAGGAAACTTAGCTGGAGACATCAACAATCGATTTACAAAAAAACATGTAAATCGACTATTAAAGCCTTCAAAAAATTGAGGAAAATTCTTTCCAACAATCGATTTACAACCAAGGCAGAAATCGATTATTGAAGCCTGCAGTTTCTTTGGCGGAGAATCTGAAGCCTCAGATAATCGATTTACAGGAAGTGTAAATCGATTATCAACGGCGATTTTTCAAAAATCTAACCATTACAGAGACGTTAGAACTGCATTCAAGGCACCTTTTTGACTTTCCAAACGCATCTCAGGCCTCTTCCACTATATATTGGTGATATCCTTTCATTTTTTACTCAGTCAAATCACAATTCCTTCATATATTCATCAATATTCTTGCAATTATTCTTCAGTGTTCTTGCAAAATCTCTGCAAATTTCTCTTTTCTTTGTCTTGCTCTCCCTCTCTCTCTTTGTTGAAATGGCAGGAGGTCAAAGAAAAAGATCCCGCACCGGCAAGAACGTTGCTTCCTCTTCGGCTCCTCCACCACCGGCGCACAAGTATCTCGACGGGTCGTTCCTTTGGTTCAACGACCGCGAAGAGGCGATGCGGTTCCCCGAAAAGTTTGAGCATCGGGAAATTCTCCCTCCCCGATTCTCCACCGCCCGCTTCATTCATGACTCCATTCCACGTGAAGCACGGATTATCCTCGAACGTGGAAACTTCCTCGATCTCCTCTACATCAAGAAGGTCAATTATCAACCCTTTCTTGTTCGAGCTTTCTACTCGAACTTGAAAAAGGATGAGGACGGAGCTTTGATCTCTAACGTCAACGGAGTGGACATCTATTTGAATGAGGAGAACATTCAAATTCTCACCGGGCTTCGCCAAGATGGACAGGATCTCGGGCTCTACGTTGGAGAAGAAGGAGCACGGTTCAATGAGACCGCTCTCTTGGAGGAAGTGGGCATTCGACACTTCGTACCCACTCCCCAACAGCGGCGCCCTACGAATGCTTCCATGAGCCCCGTGTTTCGATTCATTTTTTATGTTTTGACACGGATTCTCAAGCTCAGGAAGTTCAATCACACCACTCTCTCCCAGGAGGACACGAAGACAATTCATGCGATGATTCACAACGCCAATCTCAATTGGTGTAAATTTGGGATGACTCACATGTTCACAGCCACCTCCGACAATCGGCCGCTGCTCTACGCCCTCCTTGTCATGGCGATTCTTGAAGAACATAACATCAAAACCAATGTTGGGCCAAAGATAAAGGGGACAAAGCATTGGGATATTGATGAATCCTCTTTCCACTCGGGCACCGACGAGACTCCGTTTCGACCAATCGAGAGCCACTGCCTCAGCCGCCACCACTTCAACCAATCCTTCTCTCGCCGAGCAAATGGCAGCCTTAACCGCCACTCTCTCTCGGATTGACACCAACGTCTCCAAAACGGCACACAACGTCAATACCATGAGCCGTGAACTTCACGGGTATTTTGACTTTGTCAATTACCCGTACGCTCAAACGGTCCTTTACGTTCCTCCACCGAATTTCGGAGGTGAACAAAGTGGGACTCAAAGCGTTGGTAGAAATGACGAGGTGGAAGAAGAAGAAGAAGAAGAAGAAGATGATGATGATGATGATGATGATGATGGCGACGGTGACGAAGATGAAGAAGAAGAAGAAGACATTGACGAAGAACAACTTCTCAATGATCTTTCCCCGGATTTCTAGAGCTCTAGCTCTACTTTCTTCTCTTCCTTATTTTATCATCTTTTAATATGCTTTCGTTATGTACTCCGCTATTTCCCTTAATTAATTAATAAAAATCTTTATGAT